TTCTTGTTAGTAAAATAAATAATTTTAGCATACAGGGGGTTCAAGAAGTATCAAATTCTGTGTCATGTCCATCTCTGAAACCTCTAATGAGGGCTCTAACTGTACTTTGGTCACTATCTTTTGAAGATTCACCATGCGTAATTTTAGCAGGATAAGCCAACTTATCTTGTCATTATGCATCCTGAATTTGAGCTCTGAAATGTTTATTCAACAAAAAAATTTGGTCTTTGTACTTTGAATATATTGACTAAAGACTAATATCAGGAATTGGTTGGTTGATGTAAATGGATTTGAATTTCTCTTTCAGGAGGTTCCCGACTTTTCAGCTCAGTTTGTTTCCATGAATTTGCTAGAATCTAAACCTCTAAAAGGATTGAGGATTGGTCTGATCCGTGAAACTCTCGATGATGGTGTTGATACTGGAGTAACTTCGGCAGTCCGTACTGCTGCTTTGCACCTTGAAGAATTAGGATGCTGCGTAACAGAGGTCTACCTTCTTCTTTTTTGTTTTTTTGTTTTTGGAACCGCTCAACTTCTCTGTTTCTTCCTCAAAATGTCATTTGTACCCCTTCTTATGTCTTGGTTTAATATACTTGAAACATTAAATTGCAGGTCTCATTACCATCTTTCTCACTTGGGTTGCCAGCCTATTACATTCTTGCTTCGTCCGAGTCATCTTCGAACTTATCACGTTATGATGGTGTCAGGTAATTCTTCTAATATATTAATTTTCATCTCTGCAAGGTTTTCTTTTGTGTATTTTAATGGGAGAAGAGAGAGTAAGTAAGTAGAAGCTTGTTTAGATTTCCACTGTGACTGGAAGAAAAAGAGAAGTTGCTAAACTTATTCTTAAAATCTCTCTCTGCATGGTATATTAGAATAATAAGTATGCTCATAGTCGTTATTATTATTTAATCAATATCCAGGTATGGAAACCAAGTTGCTGCTGATGAGCTGAACTCACAATACATGGATTCCCGAGCCAAGGGTTTTGGTTCTGAGGTACACTATGTATAGGTGGCTAGTTAACACTGTTTTTCTGTACATCCTGTTGGGTTTGAAGTTTCTATTGATCAAAATATTGTTGCAGTGCTCTTTGCCTAGTTTTTTCTTGGTTTCTTTTTGAAAGCAGACTTATACCCATTTTTGTTTTTTTGCAGGTCAAAAGGAGAATTCTAACAGGAACATATGCCCTTTCAGCTGGTTATTATGATGCATATTATAAGCGCGCCCAGCAGGTACCATGGCGTTCATGCTTAAAATTTTCATTTAAAAAATACATTGTTGTGTTAAATTTAATAATGGATTTTTGGTGGGAGGAGTTAATCCCATTAGTGTTTGCATTCTGACATTAAAATATTGAAGAAACCAAAACCCTTGACATTCATAAAAGCTAAAAAGACCTCACGAGAAATCATTTATCTGAGGTTTCACCTAACAACAATCTTGTATTCTCAATCCTCATGAATGGTTTTTTAGGGTAGTTTATCAGTGCTGCAGTAGTTTATGTAATTTATATTTGCATACCATGCAACCTCTCTGTAGAATCTCATGCTTGGTTATGTTCTCAGCTTCTTACTCCTACGGATTTATGGTGTTCAAGGAGGAATTAATGATTGTTATAGTGTTTTAGGTGAGGACTGTAATTCAGAAAAGCTTCAAGACAGCACTGGATGAACATGACATCCTAATTTCACCTGCTGCTCCGTCTGCTGCTTATAAAATTGGTATGCTATTTTCCAAAATGCGTATGCTTTTCATTTTGTTTTAAATGACACGGTTTTAGTAAATCACCCATTTACTTTTATCTTTCCAGGTGAAAAGAAAAATGATCCGTTAGCAATGTATGCAGGTGACATAATGACTGTAAGCACTTTTCTGAGTACCCCAACTCCTTAAATTCTGTTTATTATATGCATGTGTTGGGTGTGTGTTTGTTTGTACTGGGACTTTTATGATAATTGAGTGACAATATTGGACATGTACACAAAAAAGCATATTCTTGCTTATCAATACTCAGCTAAACTCATGTCATCTAAGCCCTTTCTGTTTCTGAGCAATTTTTTTGTGGGCGTATTTAAGCCTCCTTTAATTCTTTTCACCAGTTTAATTACTTTTGCTGCTAGGGTCAGCAATGTCTGGCTAGTATATAATTTGTGTACATATGTATTTAATTGCAGTGAATACTCGCGTTTTTTGAATGATACACCTTCACCCAGCTCTATATATGTGATCTCAATTTTAACAGTCTTTTGTTTCCGGAATGATGCTATTGTGGTAAGAAGTTTAAAATGGTCCAAGATCTTATTTTGGGGAATCCAGCGACACACATGTTGACTCTTGTTTATGATGCTCTATGTATCATATGTGCTTGTTCTCCATTGAAACTTTTATTGCCTGTCATGTGATGTAGTTTCCACTAGTAAGACGACTAAATGACGCTGATCTGTTTCTACTTAATCTGTATGCAGGTCAATGTTAACTTGGCAGGTCTACCTGCATTGGTTTTGCCATGTGGATTTGTTGATGGGGGGCCTGCAGGCCTTCCTGTTGGTCTTCAAATGATTGGTGCAGCATTTGACGAGGTATTGCCTTGTCACCTTCTACATAGCAAAATTTTAATTTCCGTTGGGTATTAGCATTCACCCTGACCTTGTTTTTCTGGTATTTATATGGCGAACACGAGCGAAAACTTGCTACATTAACGTATTAAATTAAACACTTATTGGGAAGTGACTGAATTAAATGAAAAGTACGGGATTGCAGAGTTGAGTAGCTGGTAGTTGATTTGAGATTTTTCCACTGATTTTGCAGGGCAAATTGCTCAAAGTGGCTCATATTTTTGAGCAGACACTGCAGAATTGCAGATTTGTTCCTCCATTGATAGCAGATGAGGTTGCATGATAGCTAGCGACCAGAATTGATGGTTGATGTGCTCAACTGAAAATGGCGTTTGACACATGTAATCCATTTTATAAAATTGATCAGCCTGACTTTGTAACAAGTTCAAAATTTTCCAATTTTCTCAAATTGATCAATGAACCATTGAATTAACTTTATCAATCACCAGTTATTCTGTCACAGCTTTGTGCCAAAGCCCAAACAATATTCTGTATGAGCAGGTTTCTTTATAGAGAACATCAACATCACTTGAGAATGACATCAGACATGTTCTTTGGAAGCTACTAAATATCATCTTTTATATTGAAATGTCCCCAACTAAATTGTCCAAGTTAACCCATACTTATATTTTTGGGTTTCATTTTAATAAATTATCAAAATGTGGTGTGATTGATCTATCAATTTTTGGGGCATAAGTTTTATGCCAGGGAAATCATCACACTCGGATGGATGACTTTAAACAGTTGATGTATTGTAAGCTCTACTCGCATCAACATCTAAAGGTCACATGAGTGATTATCAATATTTCAACTCAAACACTCATATAATAATATATGTGAGCTACACTTGCATCAATAGTTGAAAAGTCACGTATGCGACACTCATATTATAAACCGACTGATCCAATTCAATCCAATTCAATTTTATTAAATTTTGATAATTTGGAGGATTGGATTGGATCCCTAATTTTCAAAAGTGACATGGTTGGATCGGATGTTGGATTTGCTTGTGAGGATCCAATCAAATCAAATCCAATCCAACATAGTTAGTTTCATGCTTATTTTACTAATTAGGTAATTTTCATTAAGAAAGTTATAAACATGTAAAGTAATTTGATGGAGTAATGTTTAATATATTATAAAATCAAAATAATTTTCTCTAGCATTTCATTTATATTTGACATTTACGTCTATTAAAATGTTTGATTATATTAAACTTGACGATAATTATTTCATTATTATATCACAAGTATAATTACCACCTGTAGTGTAAGATAGTTTCTTTATGATATCACTGAATGCAGATGTCTTTATGGTATCACAGAATGCAGATGCTTCAAAGTCTAGTGTTGCTCGGGAAGCTGTACAGAATATCAGAAGAGCAAGCACAAACTATGGCTGATGAATCAGAGGTAAGGCAGGTTCTATGTGTCACAGTAGCCTACGACTTGGAGAGCATGACAATTAGCTTTTCGGTTAGGTTTTAAGGGCATGTGGGTCAATTTAAGTGAATTTTTGGCTATATTAAATTTTTTTTTAAAAAAAACTGACATTTACGAATTTTTGGATTTAATTTTGACTTTTTTTTTTTCGTTTTTGTTTTTTTTTGAGATTTTCTATTTAAACCCCACGCTTCTCTTAGTTCATCCCAACTTTTAATTTAAATTTTCACAATTTCTAAAAAAACCCCACTATCTTCCTAAATTATCCTTAAATACACCCCAAACTGAAAAAAAGAGAAAAAGAACTAAAATAGATTTTCTATTTAAACCCCATAATTTTCTTTGTTACTAGCAAAAAAAAAAACAAACAAATGAAACTCCAAATTAGAAATTTAATACTTTATAGAGAAAGAGAACAACTTTACATCTCTCCAAGAACTGTAACTAGAATTCTAACACTTGGGTATTGTTGAGAGAGAGAGAGAGAGAGAGAGAGAGAGAGAGAGAGAGAGAGAGAGTGTGTATGTGTGTGTGTTTGGAAGAAGGTTTCTAAAACTTAATATGAAGAGTGGTGGGGTGTATAGATATACTAGGGTTATTAAGTTGGATGACCTTTTTTGTCTTTTTACACAATAATAAAACTTACAGCTTAATGATTTAAGTATTATGATGAACAAAGAGAAGTGCAGGTTTAAATAAATTTTTTATTTATTTATAAATTTTATAAAAACACTGAAATAACATGAAAGTTATTAATTATACGGTGCGGTAAAAGATGACTGGCTGTAAAGTGGTGAAGGTAGTTCGGGTTAGTTAAGACATAAAGATCCGTCACCTCCCGCCATGCGCCAGCAAAATTTGGCACGCACCGCGCACGTTAGCTGAAGCCCAAAAAGAAAAGAAACCCGACCTCACCTTCCATATAAACACAAGCCTGGTGCATGTTAGCACAAATTCAGAGAAAAAACAATAAAAAAAAAATGTTTTTATTCAATTAAATTTTAACCAATAATTTGCCTCCGGCGAACGATCTCCCTCCTCTCGTCTCCGATCACTCTGTAAGTCTCTCCAGACCCTTAATTCAAATTTATTTATCGATTTTGCTTTTTTCTTCATATTTTTTTGGGTGCACGAGATTCAACTTCTATGTACTTAAAAAAAAAAATTGTGATTGGATATGTATGGATTGATTACGGATTTGCGTTGATGAATTCGAGTTTTGTGGGTTGTAAATTTTTTTTAAAAGATTTGTAGCGAAAGTTTGACCTTTTACTGTTTTTGTAGTTTTTTATTTTTATTTTTGTGATTGATTGTTGATAAAACTGAGGGATTTATGGGTTCAGGTCAATCCGTCAAATAATTGTTCAAAGTTGTTTGAGTTAAACGCTTACTATCTGGGATGATGATAAAGTTCTAAGCTTTTGTTTAATGGGTCTCAATTCAACTAAATTTCCAAGATTTTGAGCAACACTGTTTCCTGACAATTAAATGGCGCCTAGTTCTTTGTCCAATTCAGTTTAGTTGAGCTGGGTTTGTTCATATGCAGAATGCTAACTACTTCAAATAAGTAATGTAAGTACGTAAAATTGATTTTGTTGTATAATGTATTGGCCTTAGGGAGACATACCTGGAGAAAAAGTGACCAGGTAGCATGGATGAGGAATTTACAAGTGTGGAACCTCCATCTTTGGTTGATCTGTGCATTAATACGGCAATAGATAATATAAGGCACCTTGGAGATGTTGGTGAAACAGAACTTTATTTTCTTGAGAGAATTCTACCACATTGTACGGTCGATCAGTTGAGGCATGTAGAGAAGAGTACAAAAGTAAGTTGTTCCACATTGTTTTTATATAAATGTTTTTGTTATGCTTCAGCAGAAGTTCTGAGATGTTTATTAATTAATTCTTGTAGGGTAGAGATTTGAGTCCAATAACAGATAATTTGTGGAGGAAATTATATCAAAAGGAGTTTGGTATTGAGAGGACTAATCTGGTGATTGAGAGGATGAAAAAGAAGAAAGTTTCATTCAGATGGAACCAATTGTATGAGGTGAGTTCCCCTCATTCTGTCCAACCAAATTTGTTTTCATTTAGCTTCAGTAGTCGAATCCCATTATTTTCATGTGTAGCATAGTTTTGGTTACTGGATTTAGCATTTCTAGATCTGCTTTATATTTCTGACTTATAAGAAGAAAACAGGATAAGAATTTCATTGTGGGTGATTACTTGCAGGCCAAATTGAGGGAAGTGGATGAGGCTGAAAATAAAGTAGCCGACCGCTTGAAGAGTCTATATCAAAAGGAAGATGCTCGTAAGTTTACCTCACCACATCCTAGCAAACCGAACAACAGTATACTAATTTCTACATGATTTACTTACTTACCAATCATTCAAATTTTACAGGAAAACAAAGTCGGCAAGTTCGTATTTGCACAAAGGTTCCGCCATCATCGAATAAAAGAAGCTTTGGTAAGTATTTCTGTTCTCTTATAGTTGGATCTCTTGTGATGTGTCATTTTATTTGAGTTCATCCACATCAGTCCCTTCAAAGACTAATACATCGTCAAATAGGGTGCAGAATAAATGTGTTTTCATGGTTGTTTTTCTGATAATTCTTTGTAGGCAATGGGGGCTACAATGTTACCGCAAAGAGCAGCTTGATGAAGAAATCAAAAATAGATTTTCTTAAAAGGTAATGTTGTATCTTAAAATGATGCATGATATGTGCCATGCCCCTTAGGCTTGTTAGCTGATATTATTCCCTCAAGATGCAATTTATTTTATTGTTACAGTTTTTGTATATCATATTCAGTGAATCATCAAATTGTTCTGATAATTATCTTGAAGCCTTATGTTCAAAGATCTTGGGTCCATCAGTGATTCTTCTCAAGATTACCCTTCTTGAGCGATAGACTTTCAAGATATTGACTTTGTTCTCCTCTTTTTCTTACGAGCAGTCATGAAGTGAGAAATCTTGCAGCTATGAAGAAAAATTCGCTCCAGAAGAGTTACAGGTAAAATTCGTGGATCTATATTCCCGTACTTACAAAGCTACATATAGACTCACTTCCAGTCCTCATTATATCTACCTTACGTTATACAGTGCCCCTCCTGTGAAGCGGCCAGGTGAGTTTTCCGGGAAAGATTCGGCTTCAAGTTCTAAACAACCCAAGCCGATAGAGAGGAATTTAAAACGCTATCCTTTCTGAACATTTTCTTCAGTGAAGACAAGGGTGTCAGATGGATTGCTCAGTTGAGCTCTGCAACTCATACCCTATTGAAGCATGGCCCCATTTGTAAACAATCTTGGTGGCTTCAATCTTGTTAGCCTCAACGTGATTTCAGCTGTCCTCATTTTCAATCGTATCAATCAATAAAAATCGTTTTTGTTCTTCATTTCTTTTTCTTTTGATCATCTTGCTTTTGTAACAATCAAATTATAATCTCTTATTGTTACAGATGTGAAATATTAAGAGATTATAATTTGATTGTTATATCTTAATTAGGGTGCGGTTGGTTGATGGGACAGAAAGTTCATTATAGCTAGTTAAAAAATTTAGCGTATTTTCCTGCGATTTTGTACCAGACTTTTTTGTTTATCAAATTATTATCAGCTCAAAGGCCATCTGCTGGTTTAATATTGAGATTTAGCTCACCAGGCAACCACAGTTTTTTATAAAGAAAATTAAAGGCTTAATTATGTACATGCCCCTTGTGCTTTCCAACTTATCTCAGATTACCACCTGTGTTTGCAAACGGCTCAAAGTACTCCACAACGTTTAAAAAACCGTCTCACGTTACCCTTTCCGTCAGTTTTTTTGAAGTTCTGTTACGAACGTTACTGTTCATTTCTCTCAAAATTCCATAACAGCAACCCATTCCCTTTGTTACTGTTCATCTGACCAGTTTTTGGACTGCCATCTCCTCCTCCGGCCACCCCAAGCGACGACATGGGTATCAAAAGAACCAGCACGTTGTCCTCTATCACCCTCACATCTCATCCGCTACCAACCGCCGTCTGGATCTCCAAAAAAAGCAAGAAATTGGCCGATTTTTACCCAAAATCTCCATTGCTCGTTCGGGTGATTCCGAGCACCATTTGCTTCGATCCAGGTATGGTTTTTCAACCTCTCGAGCTGTTCTTGCTGCTAGTTGTATTGGTTATGAGAAATTTCTGAGTTTTGGAGGGTAAATAAGCGATGAACAGTAACAAAGGGGATGGGCTGCTGTTCTGGAATTTTGGAGGGGATGAACAGTAACGTTCGTAACGGAACTTCAAAAAAACTGACAGAAAAGGTAACGTGAGACGGTTTTTTAAACGTTGGGGGGTACTTTGAGCCATTTGCAAATACATGTGGTAATCTGAGATAAGTTGGAAAGCACAGGGAGCATGTACATAATTAAGCCAAAATTAAATGAATCTGAAGCCACTCTTGCCGTAGTATTATGAGAGATAAGAATAATGGTGCAGCAATCAAATAACCATACTGTAGTAATTACAATAAACCAAAGACCTTCCTGTCGACAAATATTCGAAAACCTTGAACTGATGTAAGTTTTGTTACAAATAATTCACAGTAAATAGAAACATACATGAAGGGGATGAAGCTTTTATTCCGAACATAAGACCGTCGAGCTAAATAATAATAGGATTCCTCTGCAGAACAAGAAGCACAACCAGCACCACACATCCTAAGAACAAACATATAAACTAGCCTCCCAATCAGAAAATGATATCATCATCCTTTTCCATACCCGCTGACAACATGTTCTGAGCTGAATTTAAGGAAACGCCCTTCTTCAAAGATAACTTTTCTGCAACCTGATCATCGGCAAATTGCTTGGCTGATGCCATCTGTCTTTCAATCTCCCTCTTCTTATAACCCTGTATCTTCTTTAACCTGAAAAAATCCTCCCTTTCCAGTTCATCCAACTCCCCCTTGATATAACTTATTGTATTCTCCAACCTAGGCTTCACAACATTCTCTAGAGCATTGACACGACGATTTGTGGTCTTGATTGCTTCATCAAGGGTTAAAAATGATGTTTGAAGTGAAGCAAGCTCCACAAGAACCTCAATTGCTTTCACATAGGCAGCACGACAGAGTTGGACCTGTTGTCCACCTCTGGCCAATCCAGTGAGATCATTCTTGGTCTCACCTTCAGTAAAATATTCGAACTTTGGGAGCTTTACACCAGCAACGTTCTCTTGCTTTGATCGAACTTTAATAGAGGCATTTTGGACATTCTCAAGAACAATGTGCTTGATGTTCTCACCAGCTACATACTTGGCTTCAGTAAGGGCAAAGGATGAGTTTTTCATAACATCTCCCATGGATTCTTTGGTTGAGACAATATTTTTAAGAATCTGACGAAACTGCACAGTTAAAGCATCGCTCTTCTTCTTGAGCAGAGCATGACCTCTTGTCGCACCCACAAGGCGAGCTTTCATAACTCCAAGCATTGTCACTGTAGGAACTACAGTCAAGCGCTGGCTTTGGCCGGACATGTTTTCAAAGATCTAAACCATAATGGATATACATAATCAGGGATCAAGAAAATTCCAGATGGCAGTTAATACACAAAGGATGCATCAATCCAACACCGCAAACTCAACACAAAAAACTCTTGAAAATCATGGAGAAAAACTAACTCAGAAAATAAAAACACAAGCATGTGTAAATTCGCAGTGATTAATGAACATGTATCGATTGCACTTTTGAGGAAATTTCCAATCTAGCCATGAATAATCACAAGTATCGGGCAAATTCAACAGAAACCAAACAGCAGATCCAGAACAATTGAGAGGGCAAAAATCCCATGATATCCGTACAAAATTACAACAAAAAGAAAATAGTTTATAGAAGACGAAATAAGGAAAAATGGGAAAAGGGACAGCGCACCTGATGAGAGCTCCTAGAGAGTCCAGAGAAATTTTATTTATTAAGGGTTTGAATTCGAGAGAGAGAGAGAGAGAGAGAGAGAGAGAGAGAGAGGGGGTGGAGCATTCTATGATAAATTTTACCCTCTAAAGCTAACCTACATGATTTGATTACAAGCCCTAGACTTTAGGTGTGCCCAGATGATCAAAATTGATATCACATTCAATTCTATGATTTTGCAACACAAACCATAAATCAAATTCCAAGTCTCTGAATGGGTTTTTCACTGATTTTCCATACTAGTCTCAGCAAGCAAACAAAACAGAAGCATGAAGAAGCTCTTCACATAAAAACACTGAATTTTTGAATTCAGGAACAGAAAATCTGGATCCAAATCAGAGCAAAACAGCAAACACAAGAGAAAATGAAAGAGAAGAAGAATGAGATTGGAAGCATAAAGATCAGAGAGATTGGAACCTGGTGTGATCGCCTTCAGTTAACGATGTAAAGGTCTCGCCGGACCGGAAATTGCCGCCGGTGAGTTAGAGAGAGAGGTTAGGGGCGAGTAGTTTAAATCTAAACAAGAAGTATGATTGATGGGTTGGGTTTGGGTCTGTCTGTGTCTGCGAAACTTCGGGTGATAATGGATTTCGGATCTATCGGATTCGGGTTAATAATGGAGTCCGCTTCGAAGTTATCCGGTTTTGCCAAAGTGGTATGGTAGTTTAGTAGTGGTAGGTCTCCCGCTTTAATTAGAGATAATCTTGTAAGAGAAAATAAAATAATCACAAAAGGAAGCTTTTCTAATAAAGATTTTAAATGTTTTTTTTATAACGAAAATAAAGATTTTAAGTTAAGAATTAGTTAAGGATTTTTAATTTTCACGTCTATTAAATGTGTTAGTGAATTTAATATGCATTGTATTTATTGTCTGAACATTCAAGTTTTTTTTAATTATTTATACAATGATATTAGGAGAGAGAAATCACACACATGAATCATGATCTAAAGTGTAAGAATAATAGTGTGAACTGCTTAACCTATAAACCCTTTATCAAAGAAAAGAATTACTTCATAGCTCACATCTCTATTGATATGAAGAGAATGTTTGGTCTTTCTCTGTTTTTAACTTGTCAATTATATTTTAACATAATGTATAAATATGCTAAGGGAGATTTAAACTTGGGTGCAAAAGGACAGGCACATTGTCGTGACCAACTGGCATAACTCAGAACGTTTTTTTTAATGGTTAAAATACATTTTCGGTCACAGGATTTTACATGAAAATTCAATTTGGTCACTTATAATTTTTTTTATAGCCAAATTGGTCATTGTGTTTCCCAAAATTTACATTTTATAGACAATATGTTATCTTCTATTAAGTGTTGTTTTAATTTTTAATTTTTTAGGATCACGTTCAAGTCTTCTTCCTCTAACTCAACGAATTAGGTTATATTGTGCTATTAGGGCTTAAAAAATTTGGGGAAATCTTGGGTTGAAATCAAAATTATGAGGTATATGGTCATGGGGAGCATTTTTGCTCACCACCTTAACTAACCCAATGTGTTTTCACCACCCTTTTCAATACTTGATACACTCAAACTAAACACATGATTAAATAATTGTGATTGATATTATATTTCTCCAAGAATAGGATATATATACAAGTACAAGTTGACTTTTCCTACAAGGAAGGGTAATTAGCTAATTACAAGGAATCCTAACTAGGTAGCAATTCTAATTAGGTTACGTGAATTACACCAGGAAATCAGGGATAACGGGATCCCTGAATTATGGCTCATACCAACACTCCCCCTCAAGTTGGTGCATAGATATCTCTTATGCCCAACTTGTTAAGTGAGTCATGAAAAACCTTTGTCGACACTGCATGTGTTAAGACAATCATCAGCTGTTCTACACACCATGTGTTGTATCTTCCCCTGGTTCGTTATGGAAAGGATCATGGGAATATAAATGTTTCAAGTATCGAATGGTATATGGATAAAGATGAATTTTATTGCATGGTTTACATAGTTTTTCTAAAACAGTATGGTTAGTATGTTCATATATAATTTATTTTATTAACTTTATTTTTGTCCACTCACAATTTCTTGTTTTGCGCCCTCTAGGCTATAGCTCGACGAGATTCACGGGTCCACGTCGAGTATTCTATACAATACACGCCATTACTTGTAGGATATTCATTTATTTCTTTTTGAACTCCTAATACTTCTGTAAACTAAGGTTTTGTAGAAAGCTCTGATATTGCTTATGTAGGGTTGAACTTGAGGCTGGAGGCCTATGTTGTAAATTGTGTGCTTTAGCATTGTGTGTGTTGCCGTTTGGGATTATCTATCGCTTGTTTGCAGGTATTTGTAATTTGAGAATGTCCATTTTTCAAGGGAGATTCTGCCGAAATTTCGATTGAAGTCTCGACCCAATTTTTATTTAAATCGGGGGCGAAAAGGTTATGTTAGTAAGTGGGCTCGGCATTGGGCAAATGCCAGACAGAAACAGGGTTCGTCACAGATTCCAATGGTGGAATCTGGGGCTGGTCCTGTCATGTAATTTACCTATTTCCTCGATATCATCACCAGTAACAACCATATCATCCACATAGATTATCAATAAAGTAACTTTACCACCCTTA